TCGCTAATAAATCTGTAATTCAACAACCTCTCAACATTTAGAAAAATAATATACTATACAAAGGCACTATTCATCTTTCAAATAATAAAGATAAATTTATCAACATCTCTATGAACTAACAGACCACCAAAAGGAATTACTCAACCTTGGATCTAACTGTCATCATTACATACAATACAATAGACTGGGTAAAAAAACTGAAATGGAAATGTTATATCAAAACATTAAAAACAAACAAACAAACAAACAAAAAAAAACAACTAATAAAAACAAAACCAGAAATTCTTGGCCTACACAAAGCTGAAGCAATAAAAGACAGACATGAAAAAACTTGTCCAAGCTCCTAGCAAAACAATTAAAAATCGCCACTATGGAGCTACATAACCATTCTCATAGAATTTTAAAAAACGCAAATAAAACTAATATCTTCGTTGTATTAAATGAATAGAATTATACTTCAAAATTACAACAAATACCCGAGGATGACGACAAAATTTAGTCAACAGAAATGCTATTAACCAACTGAAATTGAAAAAAATAATAATCACAGCCAACAATGCAGAACAAGACATAAAACCTCCGCAAATAATTGGTAACTACAAGCCAGGATACATGTATCTCTATAAAAGGCAGGATGTGTGTGTGTGTGTGTGTGTGATGAATGCACGGCCGCAATTTTTGACGGATTTACACCAAAATTTACATGCACATGCTCCAAATTAGCGGAAAGGCCAAGACCGACTTTGCATTTCCCAACTCCCATCGATAGTTGAAATAATCGATTTTTTCATGCTTCTACGGCAGTTTTCATGTAGTTTGCGGCCATTTTCTACTGGCCAGTGTGAGAATTAAAAAAAAAAAAACGCAAATAAAACTAATATCTTAGTTGTATTAAATGAATATATTATTCATCTGGTATTCCCAAGCTGTTACAAAATCTAGGTATTGACCAGGGTCAACGTTGCTTAGCTTAGCTTCTGCGATCGTAGGAGAATCGGTGTTTCAATTTTAAAGGAATCAAAGAAAGAACTACTAATCTGTTACGCAATATCGGTTTTCTTATATATGGCAGTGATTGCTGTACCATCTCCTCACGGATGATGAAGTAACTAGGTAAATATGTGGTTCTACAGAAGCATGCTGAGGATACCATAGACTGAACACGTGAGCAACGATCGAGTGTTTAGAGAAAATAGAAACAAAAAAGACGCTTCTCCGTAACACCAGAAAGAGAGTTGAAAGTTTTAGGGCACATAAAGAGGAAAGACGGTTTAGAAAATTTGACACTCACAGGATATACTGAAGACAAGAGGAACAGAAGAAAGCAGCGTACCTAACGAACTTATGTAAATGCTTGGCAGAACATGGATTAAAAGATATAGCATGAAGAAAAAGCTTACTATTGGTTATAAATTATAGGAAGTAGTGGAGAACTATGATCACCTACGTAATGAAGAGACACGGTATATAGAAGGAGAATATCCAATTGAAGCAAATATGCGCAGTATAACTACCATTTAAAAATGATATTTTTTTAAAAACTTGAGCGTGACCGTTCGCGCAAATATTTCCCGCCATCGAAGGGTTAATAAGACAACATTAATTTTATTTACATCATTTAGAATCAGACTAAGCCGTTGCCGCTATTATCACAAGGTTTGACAGACGCCGTTTAAGGGTTACATAGGAAAATCATTTTAATAAGTCTCTTCAGCTGCTATCTGAGAGCATATTCGCCAATGTTTAACTCTGGCGCCGAGTCTGTCTGTACATCTTGCTTCATGTTTTTATAACCCCGCATGAGGAATGATCACGTTTTATTGGGCGAGGGAGACTTTTATTAATTGAGAGAGAAGAGTAATTGCTTTATTCGGATAATGGCAAAAAGAAATCCTACAACACCAACGTTAATTGGCAGATTTGAAATTATCAAGAAAGAAAGAAAAAGAAGAGAATCAAATTCTGACAGGAGGTGAGTTGTTGTTTAAAGCATAAAAATAACTGAAAATGCGGGAAATGGGAGGTTGAAAAATTAAGTACCGTGTTGGCCAAAACGTTTGTCAATGGATGGCATGAGGAGCGTTTAGTTTTAAATAACTTTTCACAAAAAAAAAAAAAAAAAAACAAACAAAAAAAAAAAACATAGGTTTTAACTGAGTGTAATAGATAGTGATCATTCTCAGCTGTACAGCATAAAATTAAAAAAAAATCATTTCAGCCCATTCAAGGCAGTAAAACCACTAAGACACAAGGGGTTATTGAGTGCGAAAGAAGAAGAAAAAGAGAAACATTATTAAGGAGCGAGAACAACAGAAGAGGCGGTAGATAATGAATGACATTGCATTTTTTGAAGATCAAAGTTGATTGGAAAGCATGAAACCGGAAGTGAGAAGTGCGAGAAAAGAAAGGGTTAGCATAGAACTTATGGTTATATTTATCTGATCCAAATGTAAATTTGTGAGACCTTGCCGTCAGTCTTGTAGTACACTTAAATGCATAAAGTCTAGGTACCATAGGGGGAAAAACCGTCAAATGAAATTATTTATAGAAAAAGCACAGAGAAGCTACATTACAGCGGTGGGAAAGGGACTGAAGCCGAGATGCCAAGTCAGAATTAATAATATTGCTGATTCTTATTTGATTCTTCAGCCCTGGTGATGTGAGGCAGAAAGGGGTCACTCAAATGACTGTCATTATTTTATTTCTGGTGGTTCTAACATTGGAGATAAAAGATAATGTTTTTCGTACATTCTTCTAAAAGCAAAATGCGATTCAAACGAAAGAAAAAAAGTTTAGTATGGAGAGATTTTAGTGTGAATGAATGTAATCAATCTGAAACCTAACTTGTGAATAATCAATGTTATTTTTTTTAATGCTATTTCCCTTTAGGATATAAATGAAAAAGCTTTCCACAGATTCTATTGAGCTTTTTTATCTGTGAAATGCCATGTTTTATCGAAAAAGTATAATGGTTTCTCACTTCTCAAGGGTTTTGAAATGAGAGATTTCTTTTATACTGGCTACGACACCAAAGAGCCCGGTCTATCATGTTAATTAAAATATAGCCTAGGCAGAAGATATGTATTCATGCATTTGCCAAGCGAATTAGTGTGAAAGTGATCGACTTGTCAGGAATTTGAAACCGGCTCGCAGGTTCTATTTTTCGCTTCGGTAACCGTTACAGTACTTTCACATCACAAACAATGTTACACAATGTGGGGGAAATAAACAATATACCAAGCGTAACCAAAATGAAGTGTTGTTAATCATTCGTAACAGTTTCATTGTGTTAGAATTTCATTCCAAGCAAGGTGATAAAACAGCAAGGGGCTACTAAGTGTGAAAGAAACTGAGAAGGCGTTAGTGAGGAGAAGGGAGCGATTAAAAGAACAGGAATTTTAATTTTTAATCATTTCACCCCAAGCAAGAGGGGAATGAAGATGATAACGATTAACATTGCATTTATTTTATTAGTATAGAAAACAGAAAGCCAGAAAGGGGTTCCATAAGTGAAAAGCGTGAGGAAAGAAACTCTTACATAGAACTTACGGTTGCATCTACCCAATTCAACTGAACCCGCTATTTTATTCATGTACTTAAGTTGTTCTCATTCCGCTTTCCATACTTCGCATTAGTTAATACGGTCGAAATTCATGAGCATGTTGGTATGAATAGAAAAGAATAATTTTAATTCTGCTTGAGTTAGCACGCCTTTACTCCTTGCCATTACCTCATAAATCATAGATTATTCCGTTTTGATCACGGAAACGACATATCAGAGACAATACTTGGTTTCAGGGAAAAAATGAAAGAAAGAAAGAGAAAGAATTGATAACAATGTACTTAACGTCTGTTTCAGTGAAATTGAAAAAGTTGTCCAAATCTTTTCATTTGCATCCCCTTACTTCTTAAAATAACGACCAGAATTCATATTTATGATTGTTATTGCAATATTTTTTTAAAACGTTGTTAAAGTCAAATAATTAAAGATGCGATAGGGGAATTTCTACGGATATTTTGTTGGCTTAGAATTCGCAACGAGCTTATTTATTAACATTATTAGCATTAGCTGAAGAATTAAGATTCATCAGAAAATTCAACTACGAAAACCGTGAAATTTTCACGAGCATTTCTTATAATAATAATAATAATAATAATACCTCATTATCAAAAATTCGGATAGATATTCTATGAATGATATATGGAGTTTTTGGTATATAAGATGCGACCTTATTCCCCAAAAGCTAACACATTTCAAGTCGAATGAAAAAAGATATTCTCGCTTGATGACCTTCTGTCAGACACGAAATATTAAGCCTTAATTATTTCCAATGCATTGCACCTTAAACACTTGAAAATAGGTCAAATATCAAGAAAAGGCGAATTTATCCAATTTATTTATACAAGTATTTCATTTCAGTAGATCTATATTATTTGGGGTAAAACTATTAGGTTGGTGCAAAAATAATGACGTAATAATGTCTTTTTTGACGTATTTTTAACGTCAAAAAACGACATTATTACGTCATTATTTTTGCACCAACCTAATAAATACGTTTTTGGTGTTTCTCTTGGACTTGGTATCAGTTCCTCAATCATGAAACTTATTGAAATTCTGGCTGCATATTTTTATTGACAATTTTTTAAAATATGACACCTGCTTTAACGGGGAGAAATCTAAAATAAAATAATGTTTGTCATACGGATGGATTTCTGAAGAAAAGAAGACCATTGGCGATTTTATTCAATTTAAATTAATAAATTTTATGTAATATTTTCTACATCTAACACGCACAAGGAATTTATGCTTACAAGCCCAGCGACAAAGTAATTCTTGGACACATAGTCGAGACAAAATCATGTGTGGAAGAATAATAAAACTAAAAGAGAGGGAGGAGAAGATTGACATTTTTTTTTTATTTCGTACAGAGTAAGGATTATATTTTACGCATTGGGCAAACTATGGAAAGATGGTCTGACACCTCGAACAGACTATGGATCTATGATCTCGAAGAGACAAAGGACCCATTTTCTGAGGCGCCAAACAGGCGAGTGATGCCTTTTCTAACTCCTCGAATATACGAGGGATCCATTGCCTGACACCTAGAACGGTCTAGCGACCAAACAGTACACTTCGGCCAGTCTATTGGCCAACGCCTAGAACAGACTTGGAAAATCTGGTCTACTGCTTGAACACTCTTCGAAACATCTCAGGGGGCCCTCATAAAAACCTAGAAACATATGTTTTACCCCTCGGACACGCTTGGAAATATTTGGGGAACACCTCGGAAAGACGTAGAAACATCTGCGGGGGTCCCTCGGACAGACGTAGAAACATCAGCGGGGACTTCTCGGACAGACGTAGAAACATCTGCGGGGACTTCTCGGACAGACCTAGAAACATCTGCGGGGACTTCGGACAGACCTAGAAACATCTGCAGGGACTTCTCGACAGACCTAGAAACATCTGCAGGGACTTCTCGACAGACCTAGAAACATCTGCGGGGACTTCTCGGACAGACCTAGAAACATCTGCGGGGACTTCTCGGACAGACCTAGAAACATCTGCGGGGACTTCTCGGACAAACCTAGAAACATCTGCGGGGACTTCTCGGACAGACCTAGAAACATCTGCGGGGGTCCCTCGGACAGACGTAGAAACAGCTGCGGGGACTTCTCGGATAGACCTAGAAACATCTGCGAGGGTCCCTCGGACAGACTTAGAAACATCTGCGGGGACCGCTCGGACAGGCCTAGAAACATCTGGCCTACCGCTAGGACACACTTGGAAATATCTGCGGGACCCCTCGGACAGACCTAGAAACATCTGCGTGGATCCCACGGACCGACTTGTAAATATCTGAGGGCTGGCCTCGGAAAGACCTGGAAACATCTGGGTTAATGCTCGGACAAATCTGGAAACATCTGGGTTATCCCTCGGACAGACTGCAGACGATGTTTTTCGTCTCAAAGAGACTTGAAACCATCTTCTATTCCTCGTATAGACGAAGGACTATCTTTTACAGCTCAAAGTAGGGATAACGTTTTTGTCTAGGAAACTTCCTATTGCACTTGAATACATAATAGCTACTTAGGGAATTAATATTTCAATGCTCGCTACTACTATTTTGTTTATTTGAGTTCGTATGTATTTAAGAAATAATTAACGGCTAATTGAGATTTCCTGGTGCTCTTTATCAGAGACAAATAAGGCTGCAAATCCAATTATATTCTCTTCGTTTGCACAGAGTTTTATATTTCAGACAATTTACAGATTCATTTATCTCGCATATCTATACTGTGTTCCTTTCTGTATGTGTATGGCTTTTAAGCTGGACATTACTGCAACTAACGTTTTTATGCGACATCAGTTATTTAAAACCTCATGTAAATATCGACACTTGATGCAGACCACCTCCCCTCCAAAAAGTACGGTAAGATAATCATCAAAATGTTTGAGATGTATAAATATTCTTGTAGAATCTACGATACTCATGACATTAGCTGCAAAATAACTAGAATTTGTGCAATTTTTTTTTTTTAAGTGTCAACTTTATCAGATTTTAAATTTGGTATAGCAGAAAAGCCAGGTTTATCTGATTTTAATACATTTCTTTCTGGTCTCTTTAATTTGTTTAGTTTCTATTGTCACCAGTTATTCAGAGACATGCCATACCGACATCCAATACACGTCATATGCAGCCTTATCTTGAAATTCACTGCTAAGTTGCAAGATTGCAACATGTCATTAGCGTATATTCTGAATCAATGTGATTTTGGCATCTCATGCCTCTTAAGGCTATTGCTGAAGCTGTAAAATACCTGTTATGCATACAAAAATGCCTTTTGAATAGTTGAAAACAAGCTTTTGTCAAGGTTACATAATTGACTTCGTCTCGACGCCTGTTTCGGGTTATGCTTTCCTGTGTGAACTTCAGATGCATCGGTTTTAACGCGAATACAAATAGATCATCTTTGCTTTACAATATCGTTGTTCGTTGTTCAGAGTGTTGCATTCATCTTCACGACGTTTCGGCCGTTGTACATTCCGGTCTTCTTCCGGTAATTGGAATATGGAACTTGACCCTTTATTGCGTCCACCTGAGTAGATTGTTCTAGTTCCACGTGCCATGCCTCTTCCGGAGGTCTCGGGCATCTCCCTTTAACTCAGCTCTCTAAGTTTTTGTTTACCACTGCAGTAGCCATGTATTAAACTCACAGCTGTTAGGGTCAAGTCACTGGATCCAATCAACGCTTTTATCCACTGGTTCAGTTGAAAATTCCAATCAAGTGAAGAAGAGGACAACAGTCCGAACGATGTAAATAATAACTTCATCTCAGAAATATAGACAGACGATCATTGCTTTACTGTATTTATGTTTTCAGAACCATGTGAATATTCTATTTTTATATGCCAAAAGAAAAGTGTAGAGAGCTAAGTTTCCCTACCGACGCCCGGGAAAATAATACAAAAACACGCAAAGAAGGTGACGACGAGCTTGGGTCACTTTCTGAGAACAAAAAATGTTTGCTTGAAACGTGATTAATCATCGTGCACCCCCCCCCCGACAAAAAACAACAACAACAAAATGTAAAATGAGGAAAAAAATATTATGAGACTTTACATCTCAGAAATGCTAATGGTAATATTATGCATTTCCTTATAAGGAAACATTCGGCATTTAATTAATATTTAACTTAAAAATCTGCCAGGAAAATACGTTTCTCAAAACCTGGAAGAATTACCATTCTTTCATCAGCATCTCGATTATATCATTAGCTTCGAGTTACATGTGCTATTGATTTTAGTTGTTACTGTTGTTGCAAGTCTTCAAGTGATCTGGTCCTTGCTATTTGGTACTGTTCTTTGTGATTCCATAATATGAGCCAGATTTAGAAAGAATGACGTTTTCTTTATAAATACAATCTTTTGTCAGTATTATGCAAATTTAGAAATGGTAAAATGACGCACCAACTAAATAAATGTTAGACGGAGTCTCCACAACCGGTCTGTATTGTTTTGTAAAGAATATATTGCTTCCGAAGTTTTTAAAATATGCCAGAGTTTTTCATATTTAAAACTTAGTTTTAATAAGTACGAGAATAATTAAAAAAGTAATGAAATTGGTATTATTATATAAATAAGGAAAACAATAAGAAATAACGTACACCAAGATATAGCTATACATCACAAGTTCTCATCTACACTTAAATCTCCAATATAATCATCACCTCTTTCAATAGCAGTGTTCCAAATGAGAGTAAGTATCCCAGCTTCTCAAAACTCAGCTCGCTGCTGATTTAGTTAATCCCTTACAGCAATTGTCACTTGTTCATCACCACATGAATTAGCATCCTAAAGCTTCCGTCTTGTCCAATGAAAGTGGTACCTTAGAGCAAGCTTTATGGTGGTAATGAATAAGTAAAAACTGCTGTAGGGAATTGGCTTCATCAGTGAGTTTGATTTTCTTTTTTTTTATCAGGAATTCACCAACGTATAGTTTAAGAAGAGAATGACCTTATCACTTACAGGGAAACTCAATATACACAAAGGTACACGTTTTAAGCGACGGTCAGGTGACTTAAAACAAGTAACTGGCCGGTGTTTGTTGCTATTTTTCTCTTTTCACAGTGTTTAACAATGTCTAATTTCATTGTCATCGTGATGGCTTTCCATTTCTTTGAAGCACTACTATTAGGAATGGTTACACTACGCTTGGGATCCGTAATGAAATAAGTTTCCACAAACACAATTCAAACGAAAGAGAGCGAATGCAGAACAATACAATATGGCGTAAAACCATGAACTGATGCACGACGCCTTTCGTGCGAAAGATTAAGGGAGATTATAAATCGTCGTAGGTCGAGACAATCGTAACCCAGGGACACAAGTGATAAAAAGAAAAGCTTGACAAGTAGAAGAGGATGCCTGAACACTGACGTTGATATTAGTTTTCACCACTTTCACGATACTAACCGGAAACAAACATTTCGCCATTTTTTCATCTTTTTTCTGTGCTGCCGATCTGCTGACAAATATTTAACTACGTGAAGTTGTGCCTATGTTGTATTGTTTTATCTTCTTTGTGCTTATAGACATATTTCTATTTTTTTTTATTTTTATAGAAGCAGGTCGTTTTCTTTTTGTGTGATGCTTATGTACGAGCCTCCGCCTCAGCTCATGCCACGCAGATGATGAATAAAAACAACTATTTTCAAAGGGAATTCATTTTTAAATGTTTCTGTTTCTCCTGCAGTTGCGCAGTAAGGAAACAAAAATAAATCATTATTTTTATTAGATTAATATAATAGGTCCTTCGCGAAACAAAATGGCTGTCTCTACCACCAAAGTAAATTTTGATTAAAAATTATCAGGAAAAAGTCTCTGCGAGCTGTAAATTCAAATGATAGACAGAAGTGTTTTGTGTGCTAAATTCAATAATTCAGAGTGGCGAGCAGAAATAAATAACTTTTTTCTATGTCCCGTCAGGACGCAAGCAATCATGGCTCTCTAAAAGTTACTGTCTTCTCTACCTCTTAATAAATTGAATCTTTTTGTTATGTCTCCTAAACTCTGTTCTGTAATCCATTGACACAAACTCGCTAGGTATCTTCTATGTTGTTTTCATATGTACCTCTTCCCTTCAAACTGACTTGTGAGTATCAAATATTCCAAGCCCTCCTTCCTCATTAGGTGTCCACTTTTAAGTATGCTTTTTGTTTCCATCTTCTCTAAGTAATCATCCTTGCTCATATGTACGGTTAGTGTTATTCTCAGTATACTTCTGTTAAACCACAATTATGCTGCCTCAAGCCTCTTCTTCATCTCTGAAAAGATTATCCAGCATTCACTACCATATAGGAGGACCGATATTACATAACAGGTTAGTTCTCTATATTTGTGTCTAACGAAATTTCCCTGTTTTTTTTTTTTTTTAATACTTTGCTTTAGTCCGAGGCATGATGATAAATTACATCCGGCAGCAAAGCCTCTGATCCGGAGATTGGAGGTTTTGAGGATCGTGAAACCATCTCTTAATTGCTGCTGTTCCAAGTTCCACCATGAACCAGGGTGTTAGCATCTGCTAGGTCCTTAGCTATGGGCAAATAGAGAACCACCAAACAAAAACAAAACCCCAGGAAAGTAGAAAAATACATTTTTATAGTAAAACTGACTAGCAATATATTTTATGTCTAGCTGCATCTGTAAAATTGCATAGAAAATATTTAAATAACCCATAGGGTTTGATAGGCTTCTAAACAATATAAACCCATCAAAATCCAAATATTTAGATTTCGGCATTAAATAACCCATAGAGGTTGATATGCCGCTAAACAAAATCAACCAACCAAAATCCAAATATTTAGATTTCGGCATTAAATAATCAATAGAGGTTGATATGCCACTAAACAAAATCAACCAACCAAAATCCAAATATTTAGATTCCGGTATTAAATAACTCATAGAAGGTATGTCACTAAACAAGCAACTAACCAGCACGAAAGAACTTTCATGATATTAATCCATATATCCTACAATTTCTTAAAGAAATCAAACTATATTTCAAAATATAACTTCAACAAAAATACAACATAAAAAACACATATCATCGCTTCTAGTAATTATGTCCACACAAACATGCATATGCACAAAGGCTGAGTATTATCAACCATGTATTCAATTATGAAATCGGAATAAACAAAACAAAATCACAAACAAAAAAACTCTTCTTAGCGTTTGGAAGCCATTTTTCGCTATCCAAATGCAACTTCTGATTTTTGTGACGAACACTGCGTCATGTAAAACAGTTTCAAGATATTTAAAATGTATTTGTTTGATTTCGGTATCGCCAAGTTATAATTTGCATATTTGGTTCTTCCTTTTGCAAGCAA